TGAGGTAATGTGAGGGGGGGCTGGGGGGGGGGGGGGGGGGGGAAACCCCAAAACCAACAACCCAACTTTTATCCCACAATTTCAAGGTACAGCTGATAAGCATAATTAGGTATCTACCACTTACATTTTGTTTCCTGTCATTTTCATCTTTACGTTTTTAATGTCAGTATAATACTTAATAAAATGCTATCGTCTCCTGCATTAAAAAAGTAAGTCTTCAATGTATTTCAAAACTGCCTGATGTACACAGTAAACCAATAAGGAATTAAGACATAACCTTTCATAGTTAAATACACAAAGATTGCAACAAGAAGAGTGCTAATCTGAAAACATGTATCTGTGTCATCGAGATTGAGCCTTTAGGAATACAGATTCTTTCAGCTGTTGTTTTATTTTAGAAAGTCCTGTAAAGGTGACCAAAGTTCTCTATTCACAGTATCACTGGGCTTATTCAAAGAGTTCCTACTAGCTTAATTACTCTGTCCAGATGAAAGGATTCTCCTCCTCACTTAAGCTTCAAAATACTTACTTGCTTGAGAATGTAGCATTTGGAGACCTTGGGAAGGTTGTGTAACCCTAGAGTTCTCTTCAACCTTTCAAAGAGATCTCTCATTTCATTACGTCGCCGGCGTTCATTTGCTGTGTGTGTCTGGCGGTAATGCGCAAAGGCTTCTGCCTCAGTCTTCAGCTTTCTGTTCCAGAATTGAGGTTTCTGCTGGAGAAGTAACCGTATTGACCAGTTTAAAAAAAAAAAAAAAGTACTGTAATGGCAAACAATGTTTGAAGGCATGCCTGATTTACAGGTTTCTACAGACACCTGAAGATCTGTCATGCTGTTCTGCTACTATGTCTTCATGAAAGTTCAGTGTCAGAAGCACACACGATAAGCATGAAATGCTGACGAGAAATGACCAACATAATCACATCAACCCTAAAGGAAAAGATCATGAGCAGTCCCTTCTATTCATAAGCTTTCGTTTTTTGCAATACAAGGTTACTTAGGTAAGCCACAGGATTACAGCAAAATCACGCATGTCTGAGACAAATTTTTTGTTGTTGTTTGCTTGTCAAAAAAGTCTACTAATGAATGAAAGAGTCACATCAAATATAGGACACTTGAATTTTTCCCTGGAGTTAAACTAGTTTGATTTCTATTTTGTTTCGTGGGTATATATGGTTTGGTGCCAAGACGTCGTAGGTCAAAACGTGAAAGGCAACATTGAAACTTACCACCCCAGACACCTACCAAGAAACAGAAAGTGTCAAAGACAGGCTCTGATTTTGAGTTTGCTTAAGTTTCCAAAAAGGTTGACAGGCAATAAGCATAATTACTCTGCAGATCTCTATAGATTTGAAGGCTTGTTATTTCATCATTACTCTTACAGGCTTTGTACAATTATGCTATTTATTTCATGATGAAGTAATACTTAGGAAGTAGTATTAATGCAGTTTTTACATCATTTTAGGTCTGCTCCAAACCCCAGTGAATCAGTAGAAAGACTCCTCGGGTCCAGTGATACTATTTCTGAGCCTGCTGGCCTTAGGAGGAATCTGAAGACTGTCTCCTGAAACCTGGCTCTTGATATCCATTTTGCCCTCATAGGCAGACTAAGCACAGTAAGGCTGTAACTGCATCTGCTCTTGTGTTGGGCATTAGGTTCCTTTCAAGGAAGGGCCTCATGCTGTAACTTCACCGGCAGAGAGAAGAATACATGGAGAAGGCGAGGCAGGCAGAGCACCCTGGAACCCATCTCTGTCTCAGGCAAAAGCATACATACCAGTCTGCACTAATGTGTAAGACATACACCAGGCTCACACCCCACCTCAAAGCCCCGCCCCACGCCAGCAGGTAGCTCTAGACTTGACACCAAGTGTATCACAGATAGTCATCATGGACAGTTACTGAAACTGGCTTCAAAGCCACCCTAAAATACAGTATAAGCTTCAGAAGGATTGCAATGAGTTTTGGTCTGAAAGGGTTCTGCGTTATCTTTAACTTGCCTAAATACACATTATTTAAACTATTGTTTTCAGAAATCCTTCACCCAGTGCTGTGCCTGTACAATCCTACATACTGTCTTCTTCAACACATGAAAACATTTCTCAGTTGTTCATTATTCTATGCGTGCTGTAAAAATTATTTATGCCAAGAACATAAAACCTAAGCAAACGTACTAATAAAAGGCAGATATTCCTCCAGTACATAAAACTGAATTTGAAACCCACTGATGCCAGTAGCAGTCCTTTTTCTTTAATGAGATTTGGACTGAGCCCCTTCCCCCCCATACACACATTTGGTTTCTTGCATTTAATCATAAATATATGGAAGGTAGATAAATCACGTTAAGAGTTGCACTTGAGATGAAAGTTTATCTTTAAAATGGAGGTGTGATACCAAAAGGAAAGAGGAGAGCAAACATATACCTTCGTAGGTTTTTCTGATAATTTTTCATCCGAAGAATTACGAGCATGGTATCTGGAAGAAAGGTAAAAAGTTTTTCCCAACACTACTCATCTCATGCACTCTATCCTCATTAACTACATTCCAACAGCCTAGAATTGCTCATTTTTATCCCTTGAAATTAACTCTTCCTTGTATAACTACATAAAAGCAGGATACTGTTGAACTTTCTCAAGAAAGTGAACTCTCATCTCCAATGCCATCATCCTGTTCTGAAAGCTGTAAAATTATCCCATAGTGCAAAAGACAAACTACTTCACTATATGCCAAAGAGATTCAATTCAGCCCGTGACTGTTAGCTGCAGAAAGTATTTTTTTTTAATTACATTTTGGTTCTTTTTTAAAAAAAAAAACACACATTCAATACAGATGGCAGAGCAATCCCTCCCCCACCAAGAACAACCAACCAAAATCCTCACATTTATTACTATCCTAATATATAATAACAGCTTCCTCATATCTCAGGAGCTTCAAGAAAACAAAGAACAATACATATTTGAAAGAATTATTTTTTACAAAACATGGCATCTGTTTTTCTCTCTCACTGAAAGAGCTTCACAGTTTATAGCAAAGTCACCATCTAAGGATAAAAGTTGAGCTGTATCTTTGAAGGGAAAAAAAACTAGGAGCTATCTGGGAGGTATATGATATCACCAAACATCTTTCAAAGTTTCTACAAAAAAAAAAATTCAAACAAAAAGAACTAAGGATGCAATGTTCCCCATTCTCTTGTTTGGTGCAACTGAGAAATAGCCATGATCATCTTTACATACCTCAAGTAAGCTATGTTTTTACTTTGCCTTTTGTCATTATAAATGCAAGGGCAGCAACAATAACAAACAAACAAACAAAAACAGAGCGGAAAAAAAAAAAAGCCAAGCTATCCAACCATGGCAGACTATGTGTAAATAAGAAAATACTTTCTTCACTGGGGCAACGGTCCCAAAGACAAAACTTTCATTTACAGTATCAGGGATTAAACCAATGACTGCTCCTGCCTAAAAATAACAAGTCCACCAGCAAGAATAAACAAAGCTTGCAAAATCACATTTAAAACCAAGATGACCCTCCTCATATTCAGTTTGCAGGAAGGGAGGCAATTCGGTCATAATAATTTTACGTTACAAGATACACATCCCCACGAACAAATTCATTAGAGACGGGGGGTGGAAAAAAAGGCTGACACCTCCAATCTACTCTTAGTTCCGACAGCCCCGTCCTCACAGACACTGGGAAGCACCAGTGCTCAGGAAGACCTGACACAAGCCTTGCTTTATCTTACCATCACATTAAACCTGTTGTTTAATGGGTTCATTCAATGCCAGCTCATTAATAAAATACAAAACTGTAGTGCTCTCCAAGGATGCTTACTTCTGTTTGGAAGGTCGGATATTAGCAGCTGTGGCCTTCAGACGGGCAATGTTAATCTTCTCTGAAAGCTCCTCCACGGTCTCAATGTCCACCTGCTCGTCATCCTCACTGTATTCACACGCATCCTGGAACAGTTTTTGTTTTGTTTTTTAAAATGAGTATCTACTTAGCAATAGAGCTCAGGCCAAAACAGTTTCACTTCAGTCTCAAAAGAGATTACATTAGAACATTAAGAACCATTAAAGAATCAACATCTCCAGCTACACTGGCCAATAAACAGTGCTAAGCAGGTGGTTATTTTAACTGTCACCTCAAGGAATTCCTCCCACTAGCAACTCTGCAAAATGAATTTTGGTAAGGGCAAAATCCATCACTGTCATTTATGCTTTTACTATGGGTGAGATAAAAAGTTTTCACAGGGCAGAGCCTTCCTGCCTCCATTTTCAAATAAGATTAAACTGCCTTTACAACCTACTACTGTAGACTCTTGATAACTAATATTTTTTTGGCACGAGTTGAGATAGTTATAACCTTGGTAATGGTCTCTCATACCTAAGATAGCAACAGTCAGAACATCATACAACCAGGCTTCTTTGGGTCATACAGTAAACTGCTTACATGATGAAGAGTATGATTTTGGTTCTTTCCAAAACGCTGCCCAATAATTATTTTAAATATTTATGATATTCTGAAGAGTACTTTTTCTCCGTGCTTGCCTGACCAAGAAAACTTGCTACCATCTGTGAAGACAGAGATAGAGAACAACTGCAGTGCTGTAGCAACTACAAGAGTTAAATATCAATCTTGCGGCCATTTGTAGTACAAAGTGATTCCCCTTCCCACCCCCCAACAAAACAAGCCTTATTCAAGCAATTTTTTGTATTACAGTTTTTATTGGAATTTTTTGTATTATAATCTTTGGTCTGCTTACAGAATGCAGAACTCTTTCTCCTCCTTAAGTACGAAAATGTAACTGTACTTCCATTCTGTACTCTATTTCACCCAGTTTCCCTGAACTAACCCAATCTTGTCCTATTCTTCTTTTCTGCCTTTCCTTCCTTCTTTGTCCTTCTTTTCTTTTGAGAAGCTGCAATCTCCTTCTTCTCTGAATACTTACCTGAAATTCATGCAAACAGTTAATTGCAAAAAACACTAAGTGCAGAACAGAAAAAAAAAACCCCGCCCAAAAAAACCCCAATGTGCAATACTTGATCAGTAAGTAGCCTCTAATAAATGCTTTTCATGATACTGATTAAAGTTATCTGAAACTCACACTGCTCTTTTAAGAAACTCTGATTAGAGAGTGTTGCACTTACTCAGCTGACCACAGATTAGGTTATATACAGCACTATAATGAAAACAAACAAGTGCAGCCTAAATTACCACACAAGCATAACTAACAAGTGGTTAAGGATACATATTTCCAATCGGTCACAAAATTTAGACCCGTGAAATTTGCAGCTGTGTTAGTTTAAGGGGACTCAATTTATAACCAGACAGTAAATCTTAGCTGTTAATTTCCTTTTTGACAGAGAAGCAGGATCTCTAATAACCTAATATTTGATATAGTATTTGGCTTCTTCATAGTGACTAAACACAGCCTGTTCTAAACCAAAAAAAGAAGAAAAACACAACCCCAAAACCCACAACTTGCAGCAGGGCTATCTAAAATTCCAAGAACAACATAAAAACTGCCATGTTAGTTACTGATACCACAGACTGACCGCCGCTGTGAATCATGCTGCCACACAGAATTATCAGTATTTTTTTAAACCTTGTGTAATATATCATCTCCCATGGCTGTGTGATTGAGGCTACAGAAAACTGAAAACAGAATCAGTATGAAAAATTAAGCAAGGTTGCTTGCTCTCCTTTACTGAAGGCTACACTGGGGATATAACCTTTGTAAAGTATAGCAATGTACACTTTGTAGCAATGTGGCCTTTAGTAAAGTATATAGTGAGTGTATGCACACATATATATATATGAAAAAGGGCATATATATATATATATAAAAAAAGTGTGTACATAGTACACATATTTTAGTGTCTACATACATACACACGTACACACATATGCAATACTGCCTGTAGAATCTTCCAGTCTTCAAGAAGAATGAAACCATGCAGCATCCTCCCCCTGTAAAACCACTCTCAAATATTCCCAAGTCTTCCATCACCTTCCATTCATGTCATGAGGGGTCCTACAAAGTGTTGGTAGTATAGATTCTGTGTAGAAAGAGGTATAAACTTCTAAACTACTCACTTGCAGAGAAGCTGACACCTCTTCCTGTACTATGAAGTATCGAGATATTACTGCTGAAACAAAGAAAAGTGATGCTCAGGTTATCAGCTATAGCTGCTAGATCTGAACAGAAAAGCATCCTTGCTTCTACAAGTTGCTACGCACACTCCCATGTCATCTACTATGCACACTCCCATGTTACCTACTATCTTTATGCTTGTAAAAAGTCATGTCTTCTGAAAAAGAAAGAGCAAGGATAGTGACCTTAGATGAGAAATAACTATCCGTAGAAAACAACCTCACTCTGTTTCAAAGTTATTTTTAACACATGCTGACTTGAAAGACACCATTATTCTCTGCCCAGGAAAGCAGCTCTGATCTCTGGTGAGTTCTGTATTTGGAAAGGAGATAAATCAGTTATTCTACTACTACTAACTTCTGGGGTTCCTGCAGCTTTACTTCAGAGCAGCTATGAATCTGTTTATGCCATGACAGTTCTTGTTATGTATGAAGAGCAGCATAGAAGTAAATTAAATTCTTATCTGACTTTGAAAGTACGGTACTGGCACTTGCAGGAACTTAAGGAAGTACTGTTTCTCTCTGTGCATGAAAGTCCATAAAATCCTTATTTGTTCCACCTTATAAACATTCTCCCCCAAAGCAAGACTGGTTAGCACTGGGACCAGGTAGAGCACAGAGAAAATGAACTGTCTTTACCAAGGAAGAAGTGCATCACTGAACCTGACAGGCTGGTCAGGAGCTACATGTCACCAGTGCTCCCCAAGTCAGAAGGAGAATGAAAGTCAGGAGATACCATGTCCCTGGGACCTTGGTGAGGTCTAACCAAATACTGCTTCCAGTCTACATCCAAAACACATATGCAGGGGCTACTGAAATTGTGACCAAGGTACGACTACATTGCATTTCAGCATCGGTATTTCAAGAACTTTCAAACACTGCCTGTGAACAGTACACCACTTCGTTTCATGTCTGCTGAGTGGCTCCATATGCTTACAGAAACTTTAAGAAATCTTTAAGTTCTACTGTATAAAATCTCACTCGAAGGATATCACTTATGCAAACAGCCAGCAATTTTTCAACAACTCCTCCTCACACTTGCTTTACTTGTTACAGACTTTGTCAAGATCCAGTTTTAATAAACAGAAGCAACTTTTTTGATGCATTTTTTTTTAATCATTTTGTTCTTAAGACAACAGACACATCCAAGTTGCCTTTAAGCCAATTCTGCAGCTTCCCTGTTGAAAAGCAGAGACCAACCCATTTGCACAAGGTCACAGAAAGGCAGGAAAATCAAAAACACAACTGAAGATTTCCAAATTCTCTAGAAGTCCTTAATTGCTATGCCAGGGTTCACAGAGTGAACTAGAGGATGTACTAGAGGACATTAGAGAGTGATGAAATTCCAAGAATTCCTCAGCTGAGGAGAACATAAACTTGAATTTGAAATTAAAGTCTACTAGCCGGTAAGAGTGGAGGGAAGGGAAAGCAGAAAAGAAGTTGGAAGATATCAAAATTACACCATCTCCCCAGACGCAGAGCTTCTGTTGAGCTACAACAGGTGATGTAAACATGTAGCATAGCTGCTTCCACAGCCTTTTTTTAATCCTCCCCAGGGCCTGATGAGAGAAGGGAAATCATCATAAAGCCAGAGGAAAAAAAGCTGGATGAACAAAACTTACTCAAACAAAGACAGTATTTAAATACAGAACTACTGAGTAGATACATGTTATTATGTTGAAATAACTACGTGTGCAAGAGGTACAGGGTTACGTAATTTTAACAAGTCGCGTTTTATGACAACATAGTTGTATTTCATTATACATAGAGCACTCCTCATTCTTGCCTGCTCTCCTGGGTCATCCATAAAGCCTCCTTGATGCTGCAAGAGTCCTGGTGTTTTCTCTAGCTTTTCCATTTTATACAGTATCATTGCTGTGATTCTACATGCAAGACATGCATACTGTTTTTCCTCAGTGGGCAGGACTACCCTGCCTGAACTACATTTGGACATCATTACACTGCAGGGAAAGGGGACATGCAGGGTAGTTCAAAAGAGGCTACAATCCAGAGAGCGAGGGGGGAAAACCCAGGAAGTTAGCTTACTGTAGAAACACTATCATGGTAAAGCTTTTGAGTGCTGACAAGTTACACTGGGCTAACCAAAGGGTTGATAGTAATTATCCAACTAGAGCTGTTACCATGGTGGAACTTTCTACATGCTATCATACTAGAAAAATGGTATTCAAAGCCTGAGATGTGGTATCTTTTTCATGAAAGACAGGGGAAAAAAAATAGAAGTAAAAACTCCCCACTGCCCACCAAGAACTTCACATCTTTAAGGTTACAAATCCTGAATGTGGACATATGTAAAACAAAAAAACATTACTTTTTTCATTCTTACATCTAACAACAAAGGGAAAAATGCTTCAGGATGGTAACTCTTCCCTCTCTACCTCTGACTTCCTAACAACAGGAAAAATATCACAACTGTGAAGATCATCAGAATTAAATCCACTGAAGTTCTGCCATAAGAACAGCTATTCCTATGCAAGTACTGCAAACCTGTCATAGGCTGAACCTTATTCACAGCCTAGCATGACTTCTTCTGCGGGTGCAAACTTTTAAAATGCTTGTGGAAGCCCTACCTTTCTAGCATCAGTCTTTCCACAGGTCCTGTAGTTCCAAAAATTCTAAATGCCTTTGAGCTTATAAAATACCTCAAGGCATGAAGACAGAAGAGCAGTGCCACCCTGCAACAGAGTTCCAAAGTTGCTACAGAAATGTCAGCACTTTTTCCTATCTGCATTTCAACACCTGTTTCCAAGCTCTCTCTCTCTTTTATGTCTGTTCCTGGCAGCCTACACCCCTATTGCTGGTTCCTGAAGAGCAAATTGCCTGATGGCAGAGGGTCCTCAGTGACAGTGCTGAGAAAGGAGGAGGGCAGATGACAACAGATGTTGCTAGACATTACCCAAGCAAATGCCTCACTTCTGGATCTGCCTGCTATGCTACAATGTCTGGAGATTTCACATGTGGTCTGTACCAAAAGCTCAGAACGTGAAAGAGACTGTTAGAACTTAAATTGTCCACAAAATATGTCACTTGCACTTTTTATTAAACTTACAGTGTCATAATAATTCATAATAGATTCTTACCATTTTAATGTTCAGCTCAGAAAAAGAACAATTGAAAAACACATTTTAATAACATTTGAAATAAAATCACTTGGCAGACACAGAAGCTACGTTTAGACTAGTAAGTTAAACGGGACCATGGGACTATCTTTAGCATTAAAATACTAGAACAACCCCTGACGTGGTTTGGGCTTAAGCCAACAGGCACTCACGTGAATAATTCACAGACACAGTCTGTGACTTAGCCCAGGCCAAGTGATCATTTTCAACAGGAATTTTGTGTGCAATCATCATGCCTTGGAGATCAAGTTTAACATCACATCCCAGACCATCGCACTTGAATTTGTTCAGACAACAGGTCCTGATATTGATTAGTTTGCTTATATAGATATTCTCAGAAGGTTTTATTCATATCACCAAACCCAAGATGATCCACCCTCCTAAGCTTCTCTTGATGCAATTCAGGGTAGGAAATGCAAAGGGGCAAAGATACCATTTCAAGAAGCTTCTTTTTGTTGAGTAGAGGGTCTACAAGAGTCTCTGAAGTCTAATACACAAAGTTAGCACAAGGTAAGAAGGTAATCTGAAGAGCATCAGTATGCATTATTAAGAACAATGAAGTCATTACTGCAATGAGAACCAGTGTGGGGAAATGCACTAAAAAACAAACAGTAATAGCTACTACAGGTAAGCAGCAATCATCCTGACTCTCACTGGAGTTTTCTGGGTTTTTTAATGGCTATTTCCTGAGTAACTAAACCCAGTCCATATTCCAAACTAGTAGTGAAAGAGCTGTCATTAGTATCTCCACTAAAGAAAAGCATTAGTGGACATGCACGTACACTTTGCTTCCATGTTTCCACTACCTTAATGAAACAGATAAACATCCTCTAGTAGTCTGTTTATATGATCAGACTTCATCCAGTCAAAGAAACAATACCAGCACAGCCTGTCTTGTAAGCACTACGCTGATAAAACAGTACGTCCCAGTGAAAAATAACAGACTTGCATATTTAGATTTCAAATTGAATTCTCCATTAGGCATTGACATGCTAACTTAACTTGCAGGCAGCACAGACTAACAAACCAAGAACTCACCCAAATTCCAGACAGGTTTTTACAGTCCTCTGAGATCTCGTTCCTCAGCTTTACTACTCTAGAACCAAAGCTAGCTTACTCACGTTTGTGTGAGCTTACAGTGAAGACATAACCTTATATGGCTTACCAAACCGTATTAGTCAAAACCTGCAGAGTAAGTTTCTTCCAAAATAAACATTTCTTATAATCTCTGGTAATTATTTTTTCATTTCATCACCCTTTTGCATAACAAAAGGAAATACATCTTTAAAACATCAACCCTGGTAACAGGCTACTCAGTGACCTAGACATTGTATTACCTGTTGGCTTACCAACAGATACCTAAGACTACCTTGTGCTGTAAGTTTATCGGGCATCAGGCACAAATTAACTGTGGTTATCATCTCTTCATGGTAAAACCACTGAAGTTATTGAAGGGATACAGGAGGTATCAAACTGTCACCGCCCAACTCAAGACAAGACAGCAATACTTCAGTTTTCAGCTTGAAAGAACTTCCAAAAATCACATCTGCTTCCAGTTTCCTCACCTTCATGCAGCTGAGATGTTATCATCTTGCCTGAGAATAGTGAGCTGGAATGTGAACTGACTAGTCCATTTTTCTGGAAGTTAAATAGATTCTCTAAAAGCCAGAGCTGCTGACTTAACTGAGTTACTCTGGATATGATTAGAAGAAAAAGAAGTCTAATTTGGTTTTCAACTGTGAGAGGACTACATTAACACAAAAGGGCTAAGAGAACTATATACTTTCAAATGCCTGAAGACACTAACATAATCTCTCCTGTTGTTAATTTGTTTGTTCTTCAATTCTTCTCCAGTTTAACCTTCCTCTTTCCACTTTTATCTCATCCCAAGGAATGGCTATCTTATTTCTTATGTCCATTTGACTGACTCACAAAACCTCAACATCATAGATTTTAAGTAATGATGCACTGTTTCTTAAGCCACATATTGGTATATAAATTTCACACACTACTTAAATGTATTACTAAATTTCAAGAGGAATTTAAGGAGGGATTCAAACATTCCTTCCAGAAATAAATGTTAACTAAGGGCTACAAAAAGTAGAAGGAAACAGCTTAAAGTAACAGAAATACTAGATTGGCTACTACATTTTAGGATCATAAGTCATTTACAAGGAACCAAGAGTATATACTGGAGGAAGACAACATGGAATGGTTCTATTACAGCTTGCTCAATGTAACTCCCATTATCTGAAAAACGGACAATTTCTAAAAGGCCACTACAATGCTACCTATAAAAAAGCATGCAACTAAGAAAAAATAAAAGGCATTTCCACCTGGAACCCCAATCTAGACTTTCCAAAGAAACTGAAGTCCAGAACACAAACATCATACTGCGTCTTTCAAATCCATGGTTTGTGACATGTTACTTGGTCAATTAAAAAAAAAAAAAAATCCCTTCATAAATAGTTAAATGCTTACCACTTTTTCAACATCTACTTCCTCTTCACTTGGGAAGTCAGAAGCACCATCCAGCATCTCATCAGCAGAATCATCAGTTTTTTCATCCTCTTCATCCTCATCATCATCATCATCTTCTTCCTCTTCCATATCATCAGCAGTTATATCAATAGTGGGCATGTAACCTTTTTTGTGATGCCCAGCTTCCTGTGCCCTCTGTTCTGGTGTCAGGAAGTCACTTTTCTCAGATGTATCACCTTTGTTATCCGCCTCGCTTTTATTTTCTAAAGCGGGTACAATGCTAGATATTTTGCTCCAAGAACTGTTGACATGTGTTACAATATCATGACCTGTTTTCATTTCTTCCTGAGAACTGAAAGCATTTTGTTCTTTGTTGTTACTGTCTTCCTGCCTAGCTATGTTTGCTTTGCCTTCCTCGATACTGACTGTATGCTCTTCTCCTGAAGCATTATCCTGCTCTTTTGCAGAACTGATTTCAGACTTTCCTCCTTTTTCCTCTCTTATGCCTTCTGTTTCTGTAGTGCCCTTGTACTCCTTCCTTTCCACATCTGGCTGCACGGCATCACCCTGGCATTCTTGTTTGTTCTGAGCCAGTTCAGTCCCTCTCTGTTCCTTCTTGTTCTCCAGCTGTGCATCTTGCTCTTGTTGACCCTGTGACTGCCCAGAACTTCCCTTGTTGTCCTCCTTCATCTGTGCCTGTGCATCTCTTTCCTGCTCTTTTACTGGTTTCTCTTCCTGTTCAGCATGTATTTGTTCCTTCCCATGGTTCTTCAACTGTGCAGTCTCCTGATTCTCGAGACTCTGTGGATGTGAATTACCCAGGCGAGCAACTAGAGACTGATCTGATGACCCACAAACAGTTTCAGAGTTAGTTGAAACAGCCTCCGCTACAGTTTCAGAACTGACAGAATCCTCTTTCTCCTCAGAGGCCCATTTTTCTTCCTCATCATTTGGCTTCTCACTGATGTACGAATGGTCAGATGATATGACATCTGCAGAAACATCATGCTGAGAAGAAGAGCTATCATCACAAGAACTGTCTAGCACCTTTGAGTCCTTCTCCACCATCTCTAATGTAGTAGAATTTCTATCGGGTGCGATTGTGCCATTTTCTTCGTGTTTCCTATCTGACACTGTGACCTCGGACTCTGTAACTTCAATGTCATCTGAGCGTGAAGCCTTCCCATTCTCCTTCTGCTGAGCAGCACCTGAGTCCTCTTTCTTGCATATTTTCCTGTAATCTTTCTTCATCTGAAGAGATGCAAAATGGTGAAGAATGGAGTTTGGCACAGTCTTCTGTCCTGGGAGCTGAAGTAAAGCAAAACTACCGGATTGTAAAGGTATGAGATTAGCAGTGGTAGCTGGCAGACCACCCGAGTTGCAGGTTATTTTAGACTCAGAAGCTGTTTGATTTGTCACGCTGCTAGCAGCAGGAGGAGAGATCCTCAGAGTCAGAGTGCCTGCCTGTGACACAAAACTTGTTACTGAAGGAAGAAGAGAAGATGCTTGAGTGGCTAGGTTAGACGTAGGGGATAACTTGGGTACTGCACTTTGTACAGCTGAATTTGTGGCAGGAGAAGTGGAAGACACAGAGGAAGTAGGAGACACAGGTGACTCAGTAGGCTTAGAAGGTGCAGGCAACCGGATTCCTACAACAGATCCTGCAAGGAAAACAAAACATCAACTAATACTTCCTCAAAGCAATTTTTTTTTTTCTTTAAGTTTTAGTGTTTGATGCTGTACTAGAAGTAGCAAGTATTCTCAAGAATCACAATGTAACCAGGTATTTGACCACAAGTTCTCAGTGAAAGAGCTGGTACTGCATAAATACATATAAACTGTTGAATTTTTATATGACAGACCGGATATAAGGAAGACTTTTTTTTACAATGAGGGTGGTGAGGCACTGCAACAGGTTTCCCAGAGAGGCAGTGGATGCCCCATCCCTAGAAACATTCCAGGTCAGGTTGGACCGGGCTCTGAGCAACCTGATCTGGTTAAAGCTGTCCCTGCTCACTGCAGGGGGGTTGGGCTAGATGACCTCTAAAGGTCCCTTCCAACCCAAAGCATTCTACCATTCTATGATTCTATATGGAACACCCCAGTAAAATACATGAGATGGCTACTCTAAAACTAACAGATTTAATGGTAAGTTCTAACATTAAGCTTTTTAATCAAAAAAGGCATTGCATTCAGTTAAAGTCCTCTGTATTTTACTTTCCCATTTATTGGAAAACAGGAAAATGGGGATTTTCTCAAAGGAAAAAAAAAGAAAAAAGAAAATACTATTTCATTTAAAAATCCTTTTTTTTCCCCCCTCAAGAAAGAGACTTCCATGGAGAAAAACTATGACAAGATTACACGATTACACCACAATCTTTTTCACCCTATTGAACTCTTCTGCAGTGTTTCAGAACTCCATAAAACAAGGAGGAAAAATACCACCACTGGCAACTAGTTTCTCTTGTACAGCAAAAGCCCCAAAACAGAAAGGAATTCAATGAACTTTTCAACTGATTCTTTACTACACCTCATGCTCAAAAACCTCAACCACAGTATAGGATTATTTTCTCTCCTCCCCACAGTTTTGTCATCTACTGTGCTTGCTCTCGCCTCTCTCTTTTCAACACCACTCTGCCTCCCTCTCCTCAAGATGCTTCTTTATAAAGGGCAAACAGAAGAAAAATCCTACTGGAAAGTAAAACACACATTTAAAGTGTATTTTATTTGTAAATAAAACATGCTTATAAACATGTACAACAGTATGCTCAACAAGCATCCTACCTATTCTCTGTCAGATACCTGCAATTTCTAACTATTCCAACCCTGTCTTCAAAGATGCACCAGAGAAACAGCTGAAAATCAAACTTATTTTTCTTCTCACACTCTAAAGAGGATAAAACCCAGCAATTCTGTACTGCAGTGTAACATTTGATCTGAGTATCTGCTGTAAAAGCACTAACAAACCTGCAAACCAAACAAGAACAGCAGCACATCGAATGAGACACAGGTAAAAGCTCATTCTTTTTAAGAGAACCTCCAACAAGAATTATTTTTGAATCGCCACATCGACAGAATTTAATTTCTGACGGTACAATAGACACGGCTCCACTGCCACACACACAGAGACCCTTTTACTTGCTGCACAGAACTCCCAAATCTTGGTGACTTAGCTATTAACTGCACTTTCTGTATTTTAGAAACACGGTATTTAAGTTGCATTACAGCTGAATAATTACACTATGTTCTTCAACTACTCACACAGAACCAAATTAGACTTTGTTCAATTATTTCCAGAAGGGGATAGGAGCATCACAGAGACATTTATTACACTGTGAATTTCTGGCTAACACACTGGTCAGTCAAGAAAGAAACACTGGACTTTGCACCTGGATTGCGGAACATCACTGGCTGCGCACTGGGCTGGGCACCTGCAGCGCGAAACTGATGCAGAGGAACAAGCTGAATTATCTGCCCGTTAGGATGTCTGAACAGGTTCACACCACCAGGGCTCCTGAGAGGCTGAAGGATCATCCTCTGCCTCTGAGCAAGCTGCGTGTTGTTTAGCGGTCGCAAAGCAGGAGATGTCTGATGCACTGGAATCAGCAACAATCGAGGTCCTACGCGTTTGTCTGTTCCAGGAGACATCTTCTGGGGAGTCTTACTTATAGCTTGTGGGGTAGCATCTTCTGAAACATTTTTGAAGTTGCATAAAAATCAGGTTAAGAGAACAGCCTACAAATCAGGCATTATGCTTAATGAAAACAAGCACAAATATTCTGGTAACAACAGGATCCCTTTAAATTTGTTTGAAAGCATTTTTTTCTCTTTTTATTCACAGAATGCACATAGAATCAACCAGGCCAGAACAGTCTTTTTCATGCAGTTCCATCAACATTTTTCAACCATGACTCAGAAGACTTCCATGTTAATGACGAGAGAGTAATTCCATACCTACTTTTTGGACTCTATGCCAACCGTGAAATTCTAGCAGCCATAGCAATAATTGTGCTATACATTTCTATGGGCCAAGAAATGATGTGAAACTTCCAGCTCGCTTCACAGCAGTCACTGACCAGACAGCTACATTTTTTTTCTCCTCTACCAACCCATGCCAGAATAAAGCAAGCAACTTAAGAGATTATATTTCTTATCCTATTTTGGAAAGAAGGGTGAGGCAAGTGAATCTGTATTTAAATCAGGTTCTACAGTTGCAGACTGTATTCCAGCTACGAAAGAAGCAGAATAAAAAAAGGAAGCATTTGCAGTAATAGCCCAAAGCACCTAAGCCTTACCTCTTTTGGGATTCAGTGAAGGACTTGAATTAATTCCTGATAGTATAATCGGAACAGAGCCAGCAGAGGAAGTTGGTGTGGTCACCACAGATGTAGCTGTTGCAGTTGTTGTTAGTACAACTGTAGAAGTGGATGTTGTGACAACAGGACAAGTAACAGTTGGTGTTGTTACTACAGTTTTAGGGAATGATGTGGTTGCTACTGATGCAACAATCCCCGTTGCTTTTGCTATGTTCACAGTGGCAGTAGGAGTGGTAGATGAGGAAGTAGTAGAGGTGTTGATTCCAGGTGTTGCAGGAGCCGCTGGGACTGTAATTGCAGGAGGAGAGCAGACAGGTTCATTAGCTCTGGCTTGGCTAGGAGTGGTCACAGTGGATGCTGCCACACTGGTACTTTCCACAGTAACTGGAGAAGTGGTGGTGGCTGGAGTGACCCCAGGAGAGACTGTGCATTGAGCTGGAGATGGTCTTGAGGGAACCACGGGAGCGACAACCATTATCGGTGTAGGCTTGATACTGAACTTCTGTGGCCCTGACAGAGGCTGGCGTGTGCTCGCTCCAGGAATCTTCTGCTGTAGAGCTCCGGCTTTGTTCATCACAAACTGTGTGAACACACCACCAGGTGAGGGTCGGGCAGCTGCAAATAAAAACTTGCAGGTCAAAATTTTAATAGATTTCCTCTTTGCCTTTCATGAGGTGCTAGAACTGTAATTTCAGCATGAATTTGAGCCTCCATTTTCTTTGTACCTTGTAATTACATTAAAACCTTTACAGCAGTTCTAAATATGCCTTATGTATTAGAAATGTCTGCTTTATTCCACTTCTATAGCTCTTTATTGCATTTCTTCCTGGTCACACAAAGAATCAGGTCTTGCAGGGCTGTTCTTTATCATGAAACTATAAACAGACAATTCTAATTACAGTACAGGAAAACAAACACCTAAGTGCTGAAACTATTTTCTAAACCTCAGATTCTTCCTGTAACAGCTTGTGTGATCTTCCTCTTTTCACTGCTTCTTGGCTTTCATCCCCCTTCAACTGTATCCACATCTTACACAGCCATGGGGGAACAGGGGAGGAGGGAGACAGAGTTTGTCATGTCTCCTTCTCACTGCAGTGACATTCAGGCAACTGACAAATGGATGGAACAGATCTTACCAACAGGAAGTAATCACTATTGGGAAGATCTTTTCCCTCATCCCTTACTCTCCAAGGGATCAGAATACTGCATCTACATCACTCCAGATGCCTACAGATGAGTACAACAGCATTGAGATTATGGAGCAAGCCCAACTTCAATATTGTAGTTATTTATGCATATAGCATTTTTAACCCAGAATATGCCAGAACACTTAAATCATATATGCAACAATCACTTCACCCATCAATGAAATGCAGCCAGCTCTTCAATATTGCATGAACACACAAAGCAGTCAGTTTTATTACAGCACAAGAAAAACAACACACCCATTTACATGGCAATGAAAATTTAGGCAGAAACAAACAATGAATCAGAAATTAAAAGTTTTGCCAGGACACAGGTAACATCCTTTTCTCTTGCAAAGCTTCTTCAGATCTTTAATTAACAGGTGGGAATATGTGGATGGACACTAGATATTTTAATTTTTTTTTTTTTTTAAAGTCATGCAATACGTAATAGTTAAAGGCAACTTCCCTCTCTTGCCATGCTGGGGTAACCATTTCAGTACCAACTCAGACACAAGTACACATGCTTCTTCCGATACTTTTTTTTTTTTTTTTTTTTTTTAAACTCGAAGTGCTGACCAAGTCCAACCCTGTTTAGCTTGTGAAATCCAAGGAGATTACAGGCTGGTGTGGTTATTGGCTGCACACCTGTTGTTTCGCTAATCCAGATTTGGACCATCTTGTCTTTCATTGCTGCTTCACATACCTTTGGTGGTCACAAGAATTCCAATTATAAGTGCAACATCATCAGAAAAACTAGCAGCGAAGAACCACAGATTAGAGTGATCCTTTACTCATTTTAAGTTAAATCGATGTTTGATGAAAAGCAATTAAAAATCATAGTAAGGAAACTCTCAAAACAAAAATCCAAGCTTAACATTCAGTGTGTCTCCATCCACTCTTCCTTGTCTCTTGAAAATATGCTCTAGTAGCATTAATAAAATAACTAATAGTCAACATCTGTAACCTTATTCTGAAGTCAAAATAAAACTTTCTGTTTTAAAGAGGTTATTTATTGCAGAGGCAGTTTAGGTAGGCAATGCAGCCAAAGGCAGCATGCACTGTTGCACAGAAATCAACAGCAATGCTGTACATCCACTTTTTACTTCAGCTTCACGCAATTTAAAACACAGTAATAAGTTCCAACCTACCTATCTGTCTCTGTGCTGGGACATGGGTTTTCAGAGTCGTCACAGTGGGGGTTGAAGTAGTGCTGGTGGAAGATGTAGTTTTGGGAGTTGATGTTGTGGGCACCTGGACTGATGGTGTCCCAGAAGCAGCTGCTTTAGCATTGGATGCTACCTTGGAGATCACAGTACTGAGGGTTGAGATATCAAGTACTGTGGGTCGCAGCCTGCCTGTGATATAAGCTGCTAGCCGATTGGCGGGATGTAATGCCCCCATCTGTCCCAAAAGCAGTTTGGCCTGAGGATACCTTTTATCATTAACCTGAAAAAAGTGGAAAAGGGAAATTTTGTGAAAAGAATGCTAATTCACCACCTCTGGAGAGGTGTTTCATTCCATGGGACTTCCAAGTGTCCTTTTCAAAAAAAACATTGCAATTCAGAATGGGAATTCCTAATTTCCTTTCTGCCCAGGAGAACTTCAAACAGCTCTGTCACATCTTTGTAACACAGATTTTAGATGCTACTCAGACTCTCACATAGAACCACAGAGTCCAAAGGAGCGTGTGAAATCACTGAAATTAGATAGAGTGAAGCTAGCACTTATTTTTCCTGTTCCTTACTTATGCTACAGTCCTGAATAAAAATGGGTTCCCAAATTCAAGGACAATTTTGGATAAAATTCTCAAACCTAATTAACACCTAGCATCACAGAAAAAAGAATACTTATGTCGTATACATTGGGACAAAACTCTAAAGAGCTTGTAAAAGCTTTCTCAGCTTTCTTCTTATCTGTACTGTCATTTGATGCTGTAATTAAGGTATGATGAATTGACTAACTTCAAATTCAGAATTGTAGTGGTAACTAACTGCATGGGAGAGAAGAGACAGAACATCTTTCTGAATGGCAGCCTTATGCCTAATGGTCAATGAGAAGTTTTGGCAGTGTTGCATTTTACTTTCAGGTTCTTTGATAATACCTTCTAAAAGCCAAATATATTTAACATGCTACTAAACAAGGTCTTGACTCCTTTTGTTCATCAACTTCTATTAAAAATAAGAAATCCTTGCCTTTTTTCTCTCCACTAGCTTCTCTTTGTGAGGGTGCCATACCTGCGGTGTCATGAAAATAAATTTTACTCCTATTTTCTAGTTCATATGCCTTCTCTGAAAGTGGTGTTACTATAACCACAAATACCTTTGATTGAAAAGAGATCTTCATCCTAGCCCTACAGTTCCTACCACCAATTCATAATACCAAGTTGGCAGCATTAATCTGCAGGGAAAGGACTCACTTTGAACTTAGGATTATGAATTCTCTTGATGAACAACATATATTCTGCAAAGAGGACACGGGCTATTAGTGAAGATTAACAGTAAGCTGTAGCAAAAAGCAATTGAATGTTTACAGTTTCATTTTAGAGTTTTGTCCCAGTGTATACTTCCTCAGAAAATATTCTTTTTGTGGCCTTTAACAGCCATTAATTTAGAAGCATCACCTGTCAAATGCAGCTGCAGGGAGTTTTCCAAAGCACCAAAAAGATCTTGAGAGAGACTCTGTACTTGGGCCACCAAGACCCAAGTGGCCAAAAGGACAAGCTAAACCATCAGATTTCAGACTTTCAATCAGATTTCCTGTTATTGACTCAATCTTGAAAGGGACAAGCTTATGGAAAGGCAGGAATGACA